TAATAAATAATAAATATAATAATTTATTTTAATTTAATTTACTTTAAATGCACTATACTATAATAATCTATCTTACTTTATTATAATTTATTTTTCATTTAATATTATATAATTTATTTTATTATATTTAAATTATTATAAGTTTATATCTTATTAATATAAGATACATTATCTTTAAAATTTTAATTGTGTTTATTAGTACTTAGTGTCCATATATATTAATTGCTATTGAATCGAACACACAACTTGGAATGGTGTGGTAGTTTCATTGCCACAATGTAACCTAAAGATCACAGGTTCAAACCTTGCCTTTGTTTATAATTTTTTCCGCCACGTCAGCCGCTATGTCAGCAAAATATTGACATGTCAGCCACGTCACCATCCATGTCAGCAAAATCGCTACGTCACCAGCCCATGTCAGCAAGGGAAGCCCGATTTTTGGCCCGATGCATACAATTGCAAAAAATTGTAAAAGTGGTGTATAAATAACCCAATTTTAAAGGTGGTGCATTAAATTGCAAATTTCGAAAAGGTCATGGTTTTATTTGCAATTAAGCCTAATTTTAATAACTCCATCGAACTGCCACTAAGGTCGAAAAATAAATTCGACATAACAAAAATCAAATAAAGATCATCGACCTAACACCGAAGTCTGTAAAGAAACTCCCTGAGTTGCTCAAAATGAACTTCCTCGACCTGCCACTGTGGTCGAAAAATAAATTCGAGAAAACCAAACCAAATAGAACCATCGATCTGCCACTGAGGTCAAAAACACAAATACAACAAAACCATCAACCTGCCCGAGTTATCCGTAGTGAACTCCATCGACCTGCCACTGAGATAAAAACACAAATACAACGAAACCAAACCAAATAAAACCATCGACCTGTCACTGTTCGAGCTATCCGAAATGAACTCTATCGACCTGCCACTGAGGTCTAACACACAAATACAACAAAATCAAACCAAATTAAATCATCAACCTGCCCGAGCTATCCGTTACGAACTCCATCGACCTGCTACTGAAATAAAAAATACAAATACAACAAAACCAAACCAAATGAAACCATCGACCTGTTATTGCTCGAGCTATCCATAATGAACTCCATAGACCTGCCACTGAGGTCAAAGACACAAATACAACCATCGTCCTGTCATTGCTCGAGCTATCCGTAATGAACTCCATCGACCTGCCACTGAGGTCAGATACAAAAATACAAAAAAAAAGAAAAAAAAAACAAACCAAATAAAACCAATGACTTGTCACCATTGACTTGTCACAAATCGAGTTATACGTAATGAAGTCCATCGACCTGCCACTGATGTCAAACAAAAATATGACGAAATAGAAACCAAGTATAAATCATCGACCTGCCTCCGAGGTCTCCAATGAGCTCTGTGTCTTCACCGAACCAACACTAGGATCAACCACCCAGCTCGAAGGCCTTAGTCATGGTGGATTTTTTTTTCCACCACTTGCCCACCCCAAGGAATGTTCGAAACAAGCAGTCGTCCAGTCCGGAGGCAAGCACTTTTTTGAATACTTGCCTACCCCAAGGAATGTATAAAACAAGTCACAACTTGCCCACCCCGAAGCAGGGCGTACCAAAAACAAGTGAATTTTGTCCTCGAACACTTGCCCACCCCAAGGAATGTTCGAAACAAACAGTCATCCAGCCCGGAGGCAAGGACTTTTTCGACCACTCACCCACCCCAAGAATGTTCCAGACAAGCGACCACTTGTCCACCCCGAAGGGAATGGACCAAAAACAAGTGGATTTTATCCTTGAACACTTGCCCACCTCAAGGAATGTTCGAAACAAGCAGTCATCCAGCCTGGAGGCAAGGACTTTTTCGATCACTCGCCCATCCAAAGGAATGTTC